GAAATTTTTGCAAGCTCTGTATTGGACAGGCAGTTATTATGCAGAATATCTGAAGAACTCCAACAACTCCGTGGCAAACCTAGGACCTCTGTATGCGAAGCTCTGGCTGTAGGATCAGCTGCCATCTCCTTACATGAGGGGCACTTGTGTGGCCCATTCCCAGAAGTGTTTTGTTCCTGCCTGGCCTATGCTCTCCCCTCCTCTTGCCTTGCCCCTGGAGAAGAGGAGACACAGTGCGGGTCTCCGCCCTGACACCGAAAGAGAGGAAACCTTCATGGCATCGCACGAAATTATACAGCTTTATTTCCCAGTTCTACCCTGAGTTAGCTAGTCCAGGTTTTGGCTAGCCATGTAAATGGGAGAATGCTGAGCCTCTCCAGCCACGTGCAGATGGAGACCCACTGCCTGTACTGCCCTAATGGTCCTCAGATCCTAAACTGACAGGAGGAGACAATGACTGAGATGTCTTAATTACCAACATCTGCTCTCAGCATAATGAGTAGCATCCTGCCCAATAAAGAACCTCCTCAATTCTCTTTTCTGTTTGCAATTTCATTTTCCTTCACAGTGGACACATAACAATTGTACATATTTATGAGGTACACTCTGTTAATTCAATACATGCTTACACTGTGTCATGATCAAATCAGGGTAGTGCCATTTCCACCTCCTTATCATTTTGTGTGTGTTGGCAGCCTTCTGGCCTATTCTCACTTCTCTGTGAAATAGCAGTTATGAAGTGGAGGTCACAGGCACCCTGTTCTAAGACACCTGGAGCCAGCCCCGTCCTGGGCTTCAAGCACATTCCAAGGGCCCACATTTCCAGTCTTGATTTGCTATTTACATACTACAGCATAAGAGATTACCTCAAAACTTACAGCCTTAGACAACAAACATTGGTTATCCCATTGTTTCTGGAGTCAGCAACTGAGACATCGTTTCTTGCAAAGATCCCAAGGCTGACTGGAAGTCTGGTTTAACAAGGGACCTCCGAACTTCTAAGTAGTAACCTGAACTCTGCAGCACTTTTACTGTATGTTGTCAGCAAAGCGGGAAGGTTTGCTACTAAAGCTGGAAATCTGAACTCCTCTTATACCCGTGTGCCTACAGGAAAAGACACTCTGAAACCTAAAGTTTACAGGTAATAATTTTGGTTACATGATTCTACAAAATTTCTGCAGGAATTTGAGTATGTATCAAGGCAAGAAGGTTACCATGATCCAAGTCAACCCCATGTCCTATGGAGCTGGTTGGGAAACAATCACACAAAAATACCCACATTGTTTCTGAAATTTCTCAAGTATCAGGAAAGGGTAGGACCAAAGGCAGTGAAATACACCCAAGAGGTTCCCCACTGATCATTCTAGGGGAACAAAGTGGCTTTTCCTCTCTACAGACAATATCAACTGATCTCAGAACACTTAAGACCAGATGATGTGGGCCGGCACTGTGGCGCAGCAGTTTAACGCCCTGGCCTGAAGCACTGGCATCCCATGGGGCGCCAGTTCTAGACCCGGCTACTCCACTTCCCATCAAGCCCTCTGCTATGGCCTGGGAAAGCAGTAGAAGATGGCCCAAGTCCTTGGGCCCATGCACCCGCATAGAGGACCCGGAAGCAGCTCCTGGATCCTGGCTTCAGATCGACACAGCTGTAGCCATTGCAGCCAATTGGGGAGTGAACCAGCGGATGGAAGACCTCTCTCTCCTTCTCTCTGTGTGTAACTCTGACTTTCAAATAAATAAATAAATCTTTAAAAAAAGAAAGACCAGATGATGTTTGATCATTGTTTATTAGTTTAAAACTGTAGGTGCTTTAGAATTTTATAATGGGTTTGAGTAAGAGTAAGTAAACTGTAAATTTATTCCTTGGTATACTTTTATTTTGCTAAAGAAATTCAAGAGTTGTGAATACTATTTGTAATTCATTTTACTTATATTTACTGGTTTACTACAAAATACACAAATGAACCGAGGAGCACAAAGGCAAAATCTGGAAATATCCTGAGCTCAGGAATCCTTGTCCCCATGGAGTCGGGGTGCACGACCCTGCAGTAAATGGATGTGATGTGTGTGTTAATGCTTATAATACGTATTGAAATAAAGTTTGCGTTGGGTTACCATTTAAGGAACATTAAGTCACTCTGAAAGGGACTTAGGGGTATTAGTCAAATGACAGCTTGTGTCCCCAAAAGCCAAGCAGAACTTCACTTTTATAAACTTCTGAATTCTGGAAAAGAAGAGACCATGGGAAGCTTTAAGTCTTTAAGACACTCCTCATATTTTACACAGAATAACACTGATGATTTTTAGTTATTAAGCATCTACAATAATCTTGATGACAACAAAATTATTTATAATGTTATTTGCATAAGAGACTCTGAGGCTGGCCAACTTAAAGTATTAGATGGATGGAGTTTGTGGACTCAAAAGGCTTCCATAGCCTTGGCAGCTCTTGTCAAGATCCTCGGGTGGTCACTGACATCAAAAATAAAGACTCAAAATGCCTCCCTACCTTAAAAAACAAACATGAACAGCAATAAAAGATAAAATTACCAATATTACAAATAAAATCTATAACTATAAATTAAACTTTGACAGAAAAAATAAAAGTAGAGAAAGAGTACATTAATACTTTTAGTATATTTCTCTATAAAAAATAAAAATCAGGGGCCTGCTTCATGGCACAATATGTAAACTGTGCTTGTCACGCCATCAACCCATTTGGGAATGCAAATTTGAGTCCCAGCTTCTGTACTATCAGCATCAAGAAAAACAGCAGAAGGTGGTCCAAGTCCTTGAGCCCCTTGCCACGCATGTGGGAGACCACAATGGTTCTTCTAGCTCCTGGCCTTGACCTGACCCGGAAAACGCTGTTACAGCCATGTGGGGAATGAACCAACAGATGGAAGCATATTCATTCATTCATCCCCCCCCTCACTGCTTCTCAAATAAATAAATCTTTATAAATTTAAAAAATAATAATAACTAGAAGGTTTTGGATGTTTTCACCATAAAGAAATGTTCAATGTTCGAGAAGATATATATATATATATATATTATATTATATTATATTATACTATTATATAGTTACCGTGATTGGCTATTACCCATTATCTACATGTATGAGAATATCACATGGTACACCATAAACATGTACAGTTTTTAAACATCTATTGAAAACTTTATTTTAAAAAGTAGAGATAAGATACATCCTGCCATGGGAAGGTGATGTTAGTTTTGGTTGTGCTTCCAAGCTAGGGCACTGCTCTTTCATGTTTCCCTTGATGCTTCCACATTCTGCTTATTTTTATTTTCATCTCTCTCATCTTGGCTTGTAGCCAAAGTCATTTTTCTGAGCCAAGAATTATTAGTTCATCCTTGTATTTTGTGCCGGGGACCAATGATAAATCTACATAATTTGTTCAAGAAATTGTCTATTTCTATCCACCAGATTTTTATTTAAATTGTTAGACTTCACCAAGATGGCCTAAACGCTCTTGTCTGCTGGCCCACACTTAGATACACTTCTTCCCAACTCTAGGCTCACGATCTTCCGTTTCTGAGAGCATTGCATTAGGAATCTGACATCCTACGGCTTTTCCCTCTGCCTCTGCCAGTCTGAGCCCAGGACTGCCTTTCTCATGGACCTAAGTGCTCTCTGGGAGGGTGGGAGCCCAGCTACAATTGGCACAGATGGGCAAATGCAGGCGGCCTAACCACAGTGACCAACCTCCCTAGGCGTCCTTCAGGACCTTCCCACCTGTGCACCCCCAGCCTGTACACCTGCCCCTCTCTCGACAGAGTTGAGTTCTGTCCTTCCCCACCTGTAATCATCCTAAATAATCCCTTGTTTAACTCCTGCCAGTGGAATTCTTCTTTGACAGGCTAAGAGAATGTAGGTGCCAAGAGGTTGGTGAAAGTAACTCGGCAGTGGATGTGCCATAAGCTGGAGGAACCCACAGGCTCCACACACATGTGGGGTGCCCATAGCTCAACTTGCTCAAATGTTTCATCCTTTAGTTACTCATTTTCTATATAACAAACTTCTAAAAATCTCCTCACTATAAATGCCAATTCATTTGGGAAATAGACAAGCTCATTTTAAATTTCCATTTAGTTTATCTTCAAGTCACTATGGATGCCACATATTTTAAGCCATTTGTTAGCAAACCTACACGACACACCACCGGAGGGGAGAACAGTTGGCAGAGTCACATCAATAGGACGGATGGAGAAAGGAAAAGGAAATACATGGATTATAACTAGGGCATAGCATAATTAGAAAAAGGCAAAGAATAATATCAGAATCTGGAGGAAAATAATGAAGTAAAGGGAAAGGGGATTAGATATATATATAAATGGATATAGGAAAATATAAAAAAAATCAGATTTTACATCCCACCTCCCAAAAACTTACCCAGGGCATAAGTCAAAGACAGAGTGGGTTTCTTGGTCTTTTACAGAGATAAGACAGTAGTTCCTAGAGAACTGTACAGTTTAAAATACAGTGAGATCTATGTATAAGTTTTTTTTTTTTTTTTACTATATGTATTTCCCATGAACTTTTTGAAGACATCTTGGCATGTCTGGATTTCAAAATACATTTGCACAAAAAGAAATTTATCTTTTCATTCCATTTTCCATAAACATTTTGATGTACCTTTGCATTTCACAGAGTAGAAAGGTAAAAACAAAACTAAGGGAAAGGGGGAAAAGATGAGTATTACCCCCAGGTGATCATGAAATGAGGGCTAGGCTGGGACAAACAGCCAAGACTCGAGCTTGACCCAGCGTCTCACTCTGGTCCACAACACCCCTCCTTGCCCACAGAGCTAACTACTGAGCATGGTAATTACATTCTTCCTCCCCAAGTGTCCACAGCAATTTTAATTACATGAGGTGTTGTTCCTCCAAGTTCTTGCTGATCGTAAATAAAGCTCTTACTGGTGATAAATAAAACTCTTAATAATCCAGACTTGAAGTGAGATGCCATCTCCTACCTTTGTGGCTTCAGAAGCCCTGGAGAGTCAATTTAATCCTCATTGCCCTCCAGCAGAATACTTTTATATGGATAGAGGACTGTGGCTTTCCCACTTCTGCACTTGTCCCTGTGGTACCTTCTGAATAAATCTGCAACTCTTCGAGTTTAGGTTTCATTGCCATCATTTTAAAATGCATCTATTATTTGCAGACTCCTGAGTCAAAGCATAATGAAAAATTCAATTCAATTTAAAAGCAAAAGAATACAATTCCCCAAAAGATGGGGTGAAATGATAGGTGGTACAGAAATTTAGGGAGATTGTAAAGGGTCCTAAGAGGTACAGAAGATTAAAAACTGGGAAATGTGACTTGAAGAGATCTACAAAACCCAGGCTGTGCTTTGGGAGAGAATTTCCACAGAATACCTGATTTCTTCAATTCCAGTGGTACCAACAGGGACCCAGGGCCCATTCTGACCTTAACTGTCGTTATGGGAAACAGGTGAGTTCAGCAGTTGCTATAGCAACCTTCCTGTACAGCCTTTGACTCTCATTTTCCTCAATTCATCTTCTGTGTGCTGCTTATCTCTCCTCTTTATCAAGTTACTTGCTCCTCTTCAATTATTCTTTAAATTTGAGTTAAAGTCCCAGTTGTATGGTTAGGGGTTCTATAAACATTAGTAAAATAAAATCACTTCCTGTCATAAACCACCGGTTCATGGCAATGAGATTTATTAAATAGCTACCATCCAAACTTCATCTTACTTGTGAGTGAATGTTCTCCAGGGGAGTGTGTATGTGTGTGTGAGTGTGTGAGTGTGTGTATGCACACACGCATGTGTACTTCCATGGGTGTGTGTTATAACACAGAGAGAACAGAAGTCCAGCTGAAGAGGCCATTTACTGGAGTAGACTTGCTCTCTACAGTCTATTAAATGAGCTCTACAAATCCTTCCTCTATGCATTTATCTTATGGATTTCAGGGGGAAAAAGAGAGGGAGGTGGTCTCAGGATCAGGGTTGGGATTCCTCAGAGACCTTGGAAGTCTGAGCTCCCCTGAGTTTGCAGGTCAGTTTCCCACTCTGCATAGTGGGGAGAGTGATATCTCCCACAACGCTGTCTCAGGGATGCTCTGAATATTCAAAGAGATACTGCATATAAAAATGTTATGCCCATGTAAACTACTATCATGTAATTTAGATGTTTCCTACACCCATCAAAATTCATGTCAGAGTGCCTACGGGCTGCTCTTCAGTGATGCCATGTGCAGATTTGCAGTGTAATTGGGCAGGGAGCCAACCTGTTTCTTGGATTAGTGAGTTTTTGTTTATGAAGAACTTCCCGATGTTTAGAATGTTTTCTCCATACTTGCTAATTGGCTTTAAATGCTAGTAAAAAAGCTGCTGCTGCTAACAGTAAATTAAAATTGCTTTCACTTCACTCCTGTCAAAGTCTTGTTTACCCCCAAACCAGAATTTATTCTTTGTGTAATATTTTTGAAAAATTTTTTGTTTATTACATTAGGTGGTGAAACTACAAAAAGAAACATGGCTCAAATCTTGTCCTTGTTTGGTGTTTTAAGCGCCACAACATCGTGCATGTGACTGCATGAGCATGTGTTTGGGAGGACCTGATATCAAGGCCTTTTTACGCAAGCGCAAAGGGAACATTTGGTACTTCCTGAGAACTTCACCCACATTTGCCTACTTTGGAGTTTTGGTCCCAGGTCAGCCCTCAGACAAGGGCTGTATTTCTCCAGATTTTTATACACCTGGTCTCTGTATTTACGAGCTTTGAGATCTGAAAAACTTGTAAGTGTCCTAGGTATCCAGGTTTTGTTGTGAGATCAAGGGCGTGGTGCACAAGGCCTGACACAAGGTAGATGCCGAGTACACACATCACCATGGGTAGATGCAACACTTGGGGAGGTGCTGATAATACTGCTCCCCTGGGTTGCCCTCCAGAGGGAAACAGCAACCAGGAAGCATGGCCAGGGCTAGGCCATGCTCTCACTGGGCTCTAGCAGCCCCTGCAGGATGGGAAAGCTGAGTTCATGCTCCCAAGTCTGGCTCTCAGAATTCACCTTCTCTGACCCACAATCCTGCAACCCATCTACTTTCCATTGAGCAGCACATCCCAGCTGAAAGGAATCTAGAGGAGTAGTGGTCACCAGCCAGGTAAGGGTGTGGAGAGAGAGGCATGCAAAGTGGGTGACTGACAGGTGCAGCTGCAGAGCACAGAAACTTTGAACGTTCTACATTCTATCATGGCACAGTAGGGTGACTGTGGTTGACAACAATTAATTGTGTATTCTAAAAATAGCCAGCAGAGAGGAGTTTGAATGTTCTCAACACAAAAAAAGATAAATGTCTGAGATGATAGATATGACAATTATCCTGTATATATGTACTGAAACATTTCACCCTAAGTATGTACAATTACTGTCAATTTTTTTTATTTTAAAGACTTCTAGAGAAAAATAACTCTCTCTCTCTCTCCCTCTCCCTCTCCCTCTCTCTCTCTCTCTCTCTCACACACACACACACACACACACTAATGCTGCACAATAGCTTTCAAAACCAAATCTGGCCAGCCGTTTGCCAAAGAGTTAAGATGCTCTGCAGACACCTCATCCCATATAGGACTGCCCAGGTTCAAGTCACAGTTGTGTCCCCAACTCCAGCTACTGCTAATGTGGGCCCTGGGAGGCAGCAGGCCACCCTCATAGGAGACCCAGATTGAGGTCCCAGCTCCTAACTTCAGCCAGGCTCAAGCCTGGTTTCTGTGGCATTTGGGGAGTGAAGGAGCAGATGGGATTTCTCTCTCTTTCTATCTCTCTCTCTCTTCCCCCTTCCCTCCTTCTCTGCCTGCCCCCCTTTCAAGTCTGTTTTTTTTAAAAAGATATATAAAATTTTTTGAAAACCAAATCTATGGGTATGGAAATCCTTGGAGAATTTAGAAGAAAAAGTTTGACATTATGAGAACATTAACGAAAAAGCAATTATCCACATCAGTGACTGTAGACACAGGCATAAAAAATGAGCTAGAATCTCCACTCCAAGTTAAAGAGATGAGTTGCAGTAGGGTTGATGTATCATAGATCTGAAGTAGGGTGCCTGATCTCTAATCCCAGGCCCACAATTTACTAAGAGCAAGGCACTAGTCAAGTTTCTTCAAGATGGAATGAAAATAATTTAAAGAAAAAAATTAATGTGTATACTGTACTTAGAACACCATATGGTAAGGAGCAAGCACTCAATTGGCATTAGCTGTTAGCTTTACTATGATTAGTAGTTCACATAAAAATTGCAAAGGCAATGACTTACAGCAAATACAGATGGTGCCAAACCACTCACGATACTACTGAGACGTACCCCACAGGTGAGCAGCAGTAGAAAGAAGTTTCAACTGTAGGAGACCTAGCCAACTTCAGGCTACCGTGGCCTATACATTATCTGAACTAACATCACAAGCAACCCAGGAGACAGATCATTTCATTCCATTTTTGCACAAACGGGTTACATTATGAGTGGAAGACCACGATACTAGTAAATGGAGGAGAGGTTTGAGCTCCAGTCTTTGCAGCAGAGTTTGGCGGAAAGGTTAAATGATGATCAAATGCCCACTCAAGGGACCCTGGATCGTGACCCTTTCCCCAGCACACAAGGCCTCATGTTGTCTGAGCCCCTTCAAGGGGGACTGTGGTGGATCAGGTGGCTCTGTTTTGGAAGACTCAATATTACTCCCTGCTTTGCAGCAGCAAAGCATGTGCCCTCCCAGAAGACTACACTTGTGTCAAACACGCTGGGGCTTCAAAAAGTCCGTTGTGAGTGGAATTAAAGTTGAATTTATTTTGCTGCAAAAACATTTTTGAATCCATGCGTAGTTTTCTCATGAAACATACTGCCCATGAACTTTTTTGAAGTCCCCTCATGCACTCCCTCCTGGCCTACACCCCTTCCCAACTTCTACCCCTCCTTTCCTTCCTCCCCCCCTTCCACTCCTTAAGGGTCAACTGATACCCTGCTATCTCTGTAAAACAAGATTTGTGTGTAGACTTAATCAGCTCCATAAAAAGATACATTTGTTTTGGTGGCCAAGGTGAAATATTATTTGTTTTTTTTTTTTCTTTGCTTGCTTTGTTCTGTTTTTTCCCCTTAAACCTGTTAAGGAGAAGAATCTCAGATTCCCACCCTTCAAGCTGTTGGCAGGGAAGCGCCTGGACAGGAAGTGCTCTGGAGCTGCAAGGAGTCACACAGCTGATGCACTGACCCTCAGCAGACTGAAAAGGCTCTGAGCAGGAGAGTTTACTGTGTTCTCCGGACTGTGGCTTTACCCCTTAAAAGACAAAGGGCATGATGCTGGTCAGTTTCACACAGGACAGATAAAACCAGCTTCAAACTTGGATTACAGGGAATAAATGAAATGTCCCCTTGCCCATCACCTGCCCACACTCCCACTCCTCCCCAGGCTGTTCAGTTCCAAAGGAGAAAATTAAACCTTTCAAAAACGGAACAAGGTCTCTTGAGAGCAGAGGCATCAAACAATTTATTCATTGAAGAGGTGACACCTAAAAGTCTTCCCCGGGACTGTGCCTCAGTCTCTTGCTGATGGGCAGCCTTGAAGGCAAGAGCACAGTGCTGCTAGGGAAGTCCATGGGGCTGGATGATTGACACCTTTACCCCAGCTGACAACAGGTAGGGTCAGCTGTTTGGTTGTCAAGTTTGAATTGTGCATTGGCAGAATCTTGAGATACAGAACGAGAAAGAACCCCAGCTATCCCTCTCCTGTGCTGCATCTAGCATGCCTGTAGTCTATCTACAGGAGGACTGTCAGCCATGGTGGAACATTCAGCCAAGGTTTCCATAGCCATTTTAGAGGATGCCCATGCTACAGTTTCCCTGTTTATACTCATGGTCTTTTTACCCACTGATGTTGCACTCATCTGCCAGAGCTAAATCAAAACAAAATACCAAGAAAGTATGGCTTAGGCAACAGAGATCCACTGGAGGCTGACGGTACAAGGTCAAGGTGCTGGCAATGGCCGTGACGCCTGACGCCTCTCCCTGGGCTGCACATGGTCTTTCCCCTGCCCAGGCATACCTGGCATCTCTTCCTCTTTTTAAAAAGAAAAGAGACACCAGTGACACAGGATCATGGCCCCTCCCCTATGACCTCATTTAAAGTCCCTGTAACATCACAGACTGATCTTGCTA